TCCTTGTAGTGACCCGGTCTTCCTCATTTTTAATACTATTTTAGTGTACGACCCAAATCAATATTTGATCCTGGACTATTTCTACTTATCCGTAGTATTTTCATTTAATTCCAGTACAAATTTAACCGATGTAAAAAAATCGCGCAAACGAAACATATGATCGTTGTTTTTAATGTAAAGTTTTTTTATTTAATATTGTAAATACGAATATTTGGATGGATGTATGAATGAATGTACGTTTGTTAGAAGATATCTCCAGTATGACTGCATAGATCTTGCTCAAATTTGGCACATATGTAGCACATAGCCTGGAAAAACACTTAGGTTACCAATTAAGCTTTTTTATTTCGTGCGGACACTCGTGGGCGGCAACTAGTATGAATATATTGTGGGAATTAAATGAATTGCGAGGGATATAGAGTCCATTCGACGAACTCAAAATGATTGCGACAGCGGCCTTCTCGCAAACATATAAACAGCGATAAAACCTTTAATATTTTTATATATCTCATTAAAATAAGGATCAAAGAATCTTAAATTACCACCATATAAATGTTGTTTTTGAATATAATTATTTAGACCAAAAACATCTAGATAAACGTAAAGGTTAATCTAGAATAGAGTCCGCGCAGGCGGAATTATTCCGTTTTTTTGCAGACCACACCAATAAAGTTTTTAAAGTCGCTATAAGATAATTTTTTTATGAAGATTATTTAAATTCTAATGTAATTGGTATAAATATTTTCACATTTCAGAATAAAGTTTGGAAAGATAAAAAAATATAATTAAAAAAAAACAAAACTATTAGCGCCAAAAGCTTTCATTGAATTTGAAAAAAATATTTTTCCTTTGCCTTTTTGTAGTAAAATTAAAAACAAAATAACCAATAATTTTACTATGAGTATAGTATACATTGCTTCTCTAGTAATTTAACTATTCTCACACGGCTAGTCGCTGAGACTTCAGTGAGCGGTAGAACTTCTATTTCTCTTTCGTAATTCACACTCAGTTGTTAAACGACAGTCATGTATCCATTGTAGACCACGACACGATATTACATCTATTACATTGAAACACTAAGTCAAACCGGTTGAAAGTTGATTATTAATTTTATTTAAAACAACAATAACATAACTCACGACGGAAATCCAGAGGGGTAGGAAGAGACCGCCATTTGCCCTGACATCTTGCTTCTTTTACATTCTTACATCTACTGCATACATACACGTAGATTTAGTGTGCTCTTAATATCTTTCTTGAGGTTTACCTTGTATTGTAATAGTCCGTCAGTGACGGCTCTATTCGACAATAATTTAATGTTGATTATTTTTTTAAGATTTTGATACAGTTTAACGAAGGAATTTAGCTTAATATTGCTTAGTCATCGTGTAATATTGTAGGCTGAAATATAACTAATTACATACGTTAATAGTTACCACGGCTTATACACTTTACCTACTACAACAACGCCAACATATCTACAATTTTGCTTCGCATGCTTTGCCCATTTATCGTGTACAATAAATATAGAAGTGCAATGGGAACGTGCCTCACTCCAACTGCATCTAACTTAGCGCAACCAGCTATTGTTGTCAGCTTGCAACAGCTCCCAGCGAACTGTCATTACTTTGTAAAACAATATAGCCAGCGCCTAAGGTAACTATTTAGCAATGGTCATATTGATTTTAATGCAGCTTTCGCCTTGAAGTATGAATAAGACGGAATATGTCACTTTGTGAATTTATTAATTTGCAATTTGCCGACTTTTTATAACTTGCCCAGGTAAATTATATACAGACAGTATTCGACATTTGTCAGTTACATCTATGGATAATGCAAGAAAAGTTTATGAGCTTTAAACAATTGAAATATAAAATAAAATGTATAAATATACCAAGTACTAGTAATTGCGTCCGCGAGGAATTAAAAAACTTAATTAGTAGCCAATGTGTTCTGCCAGATTATGTTCTACATCTATGCCAAATTTCAGCGAGATCCATGCAGCCAATCTGGTAATATCTTGTAACAAACATCCATCCATCCATCTAAATATTCGCATTTATTAGTAACAAGTAAGATTATTAAAAGTCTACGAGTTCCAGTTTGTTAAACTTATAAAATCAAAGTTGCATCACATTGTAAACTTTTCACCAATACATCCCACGCGATCTTTATCTGTAACAAACAATACAATTTCCTTGTGCAACCTATTGTAAACAAAATAAGTCAATTTTATATATTCCCAGATAACGTTGCATATTATACAGCCTATTGGCAATACATGTGAAATATATTTATGAAACTCATGCGCTTGCTGTTCACACCTATTCAATTGTTTAGTTATAAATTACATACAAACTAAAGCATATCCAAAACGAAAATAAAAGATCAGAGTAAACAAGAAGTAGAAGTCTTATTTTAGTTCCCTTTTTTAAGGAATGGATAGGAACTTGAAGTGGATTTGCCGGAGTTGAGGATGCATAGGAAGGATATCCCCTTTCTATGTCAATATATCAATTTCCTTCGTCTTGTTTTTATTACGGTTGTCTATGGATACAGGTCACTTCACTATTTCGAAGAATTTAAATGGCCACAAAAAAAGGATTTAAAATGAGTAAAATCTCCAGGGTAATGAAGCCTACCTTTTCATATAATCCTCTTTAAAAATACTAATGTTTTTTAATTCATTTTTTCGCCGAATAACATTTCCAATATGTCATACTTGTCGTCTTTAACAAATCTTCAATATAGAGAACTCTCTAAATGGAATACAATATATTAAAACTGTCTAATGAACTCTAAATATATAATCTATTGTAAAAGGTCTATAGAATTCGTCCGGAAGTGACGTAAACGACTCAATATAGTAAAGTAAAATTGTACCATTGTTTTGTCTCTTCCGGAATACGTAATCCGTTGCCAAATGATATTTTGCACAGATTTAATCATTCACATCTTTGGAACCGCTATATTATCTTACCATTGTAATATTAATTGGATTACCTAACAGTCGTAATTTAATGTCGATTATAATATCGCATAACGCCATCTATCGAAAATTTATCGAATTTACGAGACAAAAGCGAAGTGACTTTCTGACACCAAAATGTCAGGTTAAAACATATGTCAAAGATAATGACAGGGATGTTTTTCACGGAGATTTTACTCTCAGAAACCCATAGTTAGAAAGCTTTGAATTAAACACAAATAGGCAACAATCCGTCATGTTTTATACGTTTTCATAAAAGGCATCATTAGCGACATCCACGCTTAGTGTCAAGGGCTAGCAATGTTAAAAGATTTGTATTTTCTATACGCATAGCCTTGACCAGCATCCCACAACCATTTGTAAGTTGTGGTCAAACAGTTCTACCTTCGTTATCTGATTTACTACCAAAGAAGACCATTACAAAATCATCTTAAACCAAGTTAAGTATGTAATAGATAGTCAGTGGCTCAAGCTGAGCAGGTCCTAGGTTCGAATCTAGGTTGTGTATGGAATTTGACGTTCCTCTGTTACGGCTTTGGATCGAAATTTACATTAAAGGCCTTGTACGATTTGTTTTGCTATGCAACGTATAATACGTAAGTAAATAACCTCCCACTCAGTAAAGAAGGAATAAACATTACTTGCTAATATTAAAACGCAATATAGCACACTGTGAAATTCTTAGTGTGGGTGAATGGATATGTATTAGGCCTAGGTTAAACATAGATAAAACAAGTTTAACTTTAGGTTTTCACTGCAGAAACATTTAAAATAACACATCTGTCTACCATTGTATAATTTTTTTAATTCAGATGTTACGAAGTTTGAATTTATGAAAGCTTTCAACAGACAATAATCTACAGATTAAAACGATTCATAATTACGTTTTACTTAAAAACTATAAAGTTTTGAAACTAGTAAATACTCGTAGCTTTTGGATGTCGTTTTTCAACACTTAAATTTCTAAATATACGTAAAAACAATAGTATGATGAAAACATCAGTCCAATGAGTAATGAATCAGACCTTGTTACACATTACTTGAACCCTTCTTTGCCGTTCACTTAAATGTTTTACGTTCACAAATAGTTTAGTTAATGAATTTTATTTCAAAGCGGCATCGAAAAGAAATGAATGGAATGAGTTAGGTCTTTCGTACACAAGGCAACGTAATCGAAACCGGGTGATTTAAGTCGCTAAGCGACCAATGCAATGCCATAGAGGTTCGTAATTAGCGCGCGTCGCCAACATTTCTAACCGTTATCGCTAAAGACAGTAGCTTGAAACCTGTTTGGCAAGATCGTCGTTGCAATTTTTAAGACGCCGGTGCAAATCTATACAGTTGCCATGACGCTATGAAGCATAAGAGACGCAAGTCTCGCGACGCAACCATACGATATTTGTTTGACGATTTACGTTACCTTGTTACAAAGAGCCTTAAGTACAGTCAAGGACCTTCGCGGTGTTCCACTTACAAAAAAATATATTGATGTCACTAATATTATAAATGCGAACGTTTGGATGTTTGTTAAAAGGCATCTTCGGAACTGCTTCATTGGATCTCGCTTAAATCTGGCATAGGTTTAGAACATATTCTATAAGAAAATATAGGCTCACAGACAGAGTCTAGTTATAAAAATGTTTGAAGAATGCAAAATAAAGGTCAATTTTTCAATAAAAAAAAATAAAAATGCAAAATATATCACAATAAAAAAATTTATTTCTATATAACATAACATCAGACCATAACCGTAGAATGAAATGACTGTATATTACATATTATATGTATACAATATACATGGCGATGAGCGGATGGGTCTCTTAAAAAAATGATTAGAGTAAATAAAGACTATTTTAGGTATATATTTATCCATTTAAATAAGCAACAGCGGAGTTAAACAAAGATTTTTTATATAACACTATTAAATAACTGAAGATTATCCTAAATGTTTTGACTAAAATCCTGCAAATTTATTTGGAAACACAAAACACACAATAGATAAATGTCGCACATTTAGACAACGGATTTTTGATGACTAATTTGAAAATAACCAAACAGTGTTATTTAAAAAAATATATTGAGCACTTAATAGGTATAAGTAACATTCCCTTTTTATAGAAGGAAGTTCTATTGTTAATAACAGTACCCAAAATTGGACTTAAAATATTAGGAAGAGACGAAAATTAAGTTATTGGTTACACAAAGCATTATAATAAAATATTTTATTTCTTTGTAAAAACTAATACTATTTTTTATGTAAATTTTGCAATACGTTACGGTTGTGTTTGGATAAAAAATTTCAAACAAAATTGGACTTTATTTCAAATAAAATATGGGTATAAATTCAGAGACCAGGTTACGCCATATTTGTTGTGAGGTTACATGAAATCGTCGTAGTCATCATCGAAGTTGCCGTAAGCGTCGTATTGGTTAAGATGGGCCTGAAAAATAAATGTATAGAAATCTTACTAATATTATTCCATGCGGACGGAGTCGCAGGCGACAGCTAGTCTATATATATATATATATAAATGAAAGTCGTGTTAGTAACACTATTTGTAATTCAAGAATGGCTTTACCGATATGGTTGAAAATTGGTAAGGAGATAGCTTAGAGCCAGGAGACGGACATAGGATACTATTTATTCATTTTTTTCGAATTTATGCAGCTTTTTATTAAACTTACTAATATTAAAAATGCGAATGTTTCAATGGATGTGATGTGGATGGATGGATATAATTTTTTAATTATAATAATTTCCTTAATAAATCAAAATCACCAAATAAGTTTTTTAGTTAACTTTCTATGGCTTATAATTAAAATAAAATTGTACGACAATTTAAATTGAATTCTTAAGGAAAAGTTTAAAAAAATCTGACAAATTTATATTGAGTATGTCAGGTCATCAATCTGCCTTTATCCCTATTGAGGGTTGACACAGTATGTACTCCTCCATACATCTCCATCGGCCGTCATATCCAAATCTACTTCCTTCCTATGCATATCCTCTTTCACACAGTCATACCATTAGTCAGGTAAAACAGTAAATAATTTTAATGTTATATTTTACATTTTAATACTAATGTTTCACAACAGTGTAAACTAAAATTATACTTACATTGTCTCCTTCAACTTTTAATTTAGCTTTACCCTTGCCCTTGGCGGGTTTCTTTGCCTTGTCGCTCTTCTCAGCTTTCTGTTTCTCAATGTAAAGGTTATCCACTGTCATCTTTATCCTTTTTATATCCAATGATGACACTGCAAATAAAATTAAATAAAGATAAATAATATTTTATTTAGACCAATACCAAAAGTGGACCAGACTCCTTATGGATTCTCGTACACTTGAAAGTATACAATAGCAGCAAATAGGCAAGTTTTGACAATATTTTTGTCAAAATGTGACAACATGAGGTGATTGACACAAGTATGAGATCTAATTTGGACAATGGTAATCAAAAAATCTATGTATGTTTGACTGTAAACTAATGGATAAAGGTTTTAATAAAACTTTGGTAGGATGTTTGATGAGCACCAGGAGAGGAGTTACTCACATAAAAAATAACAGACAAATTGATAACCTCCATCTTTTTGAAATCAGCTAAAAAGAACAATACTATATATTTTAATATTGTATATACACATGGGAGTCAACCAACCCGCACTGGGTTAGCATAGTTGACTAAGACCTCGTCATCACTAACTTAGGGTAGGCTTCGAGCCCCTAACTGGGGACATACAGTGAGCTGATAATATATACTTACTTTGTACAATAATGTTTTTGACAAGATCATCAACAAATCCAGGGAACTCTTCCTTGGCTTTGTAGATATTGATCTTTTTGCAAAGTAATTCCCCAAACTCTGCAAACTCCTCCTTGTTTGTCGGATGGAAACTGTCCAGTTTACCTCCGCCACCTTCAGAAACGCCTGCAGACAATATACAAAACTTATAATTCACTCTCATCCAAATCAAAAAAAAAAAACTGTAAATCTCTCTTAAATAACTTTATATCACCTATGTGCATTATTGTAAGTTTGAAATGTAAATTTTGAACATAGAATTTTGGTTGTCTATCAAAATTTACAATTCCTCTTTCTAAAGTTACTTAATTTAAAAAAAATAATCCAAAGGTGTGAATTGCAAAATTGTGAATGTAGGAGCAATCAATTGACAAGTAGCCTACATGTTCTTCTAGTTGTCATATAGCTATGCCAAATTTCATCAAGATCCACTGAGCCATTCTGGAGATACCTTTAAACAAACAGCAATCCTTCTATCTAAACATTTGCACTTATGAGTAACCCTTGTTCCAAGTGTAAACCAGAGTTTTGTAAACAAAAGGTACTAACATTTTACATTATAACACATTTAGTTCTAATTAATAAAGATTTTCTTATCAAGTGTCTTTGCCGATAATCCCAACTGTTATTAAGTGGGAATGTGTTCAACATAAGTTATGCACTAGCTTAGTACATCTTACTAACATTAGTATGATGCAAATGTTTGGATGGATGGATCCAGGATGTTTGTTACAAGATATCTCATGAACAGCGGCACAGATATTGCTGAAATTTGGCATAGATGTAGACCATAGTCTGGAAGAACACATTAGCTACTAATTTTTTTTAATTCCGCATTGATGGAGTCTCAACCTACAGTTATAATATATAAGTTACCAAATGTTTCCATGGCGAGTCGCAGGTCCGATTCTTCTTGCAACTTCTGTTGCCGGAGTTTCTCGGCTAGCCTTTCTTCAGGTGTGAGCTCTTCCAGTGCCTTTTCTGCTGCCATACGTTCAGCTTTCTCTTTTTCTAAGCGCTGAAATTATCATATTACACAATTAAATTTGATTTACTATAAAGAACATAGCTGTTTGATTACAAATGTTCATTATCACGTGTCAATACTTTACATCAAAGACTTCGATTACTGGAAATTGTTAAGCAAACTTTCTAATAATCAGAATAGTGTGCATTGATTTTTTTAAAATACAAAAAGCTATATAACTATAACATAAACCTTTTTAAGTTATTAAAAATCATGATCTTTTAACTAAATTAAAATTTACTAATGGCTCAAAATAAACGATTGTATGATCAACGACAATTTTTTCTAAAAAAAAAAAGTTACAATATGTTGATTGTCTTGGAATTATAATCAATAGAATTACTCCATATGTTTAGTGAGAAAATGGAATTTATTGCCACACTTCAATTTAATATATATCACTACTGCTTTTGATCTGACCTTGTCATAATCTAAGTATGTGTAATACATACAAAATTAGAGAATGTTACAGACTCACCTCTTTTTCTGCTATTTTGTCTTGTATTTTCTTTTTAGGCTTTGGTTGAGGTGGAGCAAGATCCTTTTTCTCTTCATCTTTTTTTTCTTCCTCCTCATCCTCCCAACTTTCCTGCAAAATAAAGTTGACGTCAACACGTAGGCAAGGTTGAGGTTATAACAGCTAATCAAAGTTAAATCCAAAGAACCTTTTACACATGCCAAATGACAAACTAAATAAACACTTGGCAGCTGTTTCACTTACCTTTACGACCTCTTCCTCATCTTCGCCTTCCCATTTATTCGAAGACGTCAACGTGGTCGGCAATTTAGGCTCAAAGTTATCTGCGTCTAGAAAAAAAATTCCCGTTGTTATCGTATTTATAATTGTACCAAAAATATCTACAAAAATTTACACGTACCCCAAGACATATCGGGATCCATGGTTGTCGATTTTTTGTTAGCACCAATCCGATTTTGTTGCCTTTTCACGTGAAGACAAAATCAGACAGAGGCAACTTGCGGGTTTTTTATCACAAGATGTCTCCAGGGTCGACTGAATTACAAACAATACACTCAAGCGGATTTTGTCAAACGAATGTGATATTTCTGCAATATCCGCGACCGAATTGAAAAACAACGCACAAATGACATAATTTGGGTGAATATACGACAGAATTACAATCAGAACTTGTTGCGTAAAAATAAGACTCCATGGCAGACGATAATTCTCGAATCACTAAAATTTCAATATGGCGGAATTTAATTCAGTGTTGCCGTTGCCACATTGCCATAACGAAAAATACTTGAAGCTCCAGATTATTTTTGTTCATAAGGAATTATATAAATAAAAAGAAAAAAAAACGTGGCAATATTTGTTTTTTTTTCTTGTTATATTATTTTGAAAGTTACGCGGATAAATTAATAGATGAGCCGTTGCTCAACGGTTTAATTTTAGGTTAGTTGAACTTTTGAACCGGTTCACAGCGGATTTTCACCCGTTTCTCAATCATTATAGTTATCTTTTTTTGCTGATTTTACAAAATTATAACATGAAGATGTAATTTACGTAATAAGAGCAAAATTTTTTAAATTTTCTTTAACATTCAAATTGAAAAATTAAAGCCAACTAAATAAAATCATAGCTTCCTAGATTTTAAATGAAACCTTAGATAAGATACAATATAAGCCGATACATACATAAAGAGGGTCTCAAATCAATTCTTTTAAATAAATCTATTTTATAATGGCTAAAAGAAAAATAGAAATATACATAGATGTCTATACCGAAAAAGACTTTGATTACCTACTCAATAATTATAAGGAAAATATTATTTGTAAGTTATATTTAAAAAAAATTGTATAAGGACTACTAATAATAATAATAATAAAGCCTTTATTGCTGAAGATAATTAGTTAGACAAATTTTCAAACATTTTTTTTTTTTAGTTACATTAACAGTAAGTAATATATATCAAAAAAGGACTACTACTACTACACTAAACGAAGCTTGTGATATCAACTAAGAAGGAACAATCAACTTCACGAATCGAACAATGTTTAGACTTGAGTTGGCACGTCCGGGCATTAGGAAACTCACATTTCCGGCGTGCCAAATTAAATATAAGAACTGTAGGATCTTTATTTGCTCTCAGGTGCACAAATATACTGCAGTTATTTCGGTTATTGCACAGCACTCGATCATCTTTTCTTGAAAATAAAATTGGATTGGAGTGACGGACAAGCTGTTCTTTTAAGAGTACGTAGAAGTTTTTTTTAATAATTAATTCTAATATTAATAATGGGACTTCGGATATGATATTTAGACGTAACTTTTAATTGAAGCTTAGTTTGAATTATGTACATACAGGTATAAATTATTTTTTACAATAACTACGCAAAGAGTATATGCAATAGAACAAAGGGTTATTTAGTCTATATCAGCTTGCCACAGATTACAAACAATTATATTCTAAGAAATGATAACAGGAGCGGCCACCCTGCTCTTGTTACCATTTTGCAAGTCATCATTTGATATCGAATGCTCATAATATATAACATTGTTATGCTTTATTTCACTATTTGTAACTTGATTGTTTATAACCTACAATTAATAGGTGAATAGTATAGCAATTTTTTTAAGAGACGACACCATCGACTTCTATATTTCACTAGAGAGGTTATAAGGCGTGGTGTGGTATTTTGTGTCTATTTGATTTTCGCGATTTTGACAATGTTGCCATCATCGTCTTATTTCCTGTATAGAGATCATTGCATGATAGGCACAATTTGAACATCAGTTTATTTATTGATACAATTGATACAAATTAATGTTCCGGTAGGTTTTGCACTACCGGGCTAGAATTTGAATATTACTCGATAAAACTTTTTATTACAGGTTGCGGCCGATGAAATCGATTCTCTAGAAAGATTTAGGGGTCACAGTGAACCTGTGTTTTTATTCATTCTGGTATGTTATAGTTTTAGCTTTTAAATAACCTAACGTAATATAAAAATACAACACTTAGATAAATCTTTCAGAATAGAAGAGTCTTAAATGTATTTCGCGGCGTTGATTATGTTACATTTGGAGAAGTCGCGAAAAAAGAGATCGAATATTTTAAGCAAATGAAAGAAGGTTGCCATATAGAAAGACCAACGTTTGCCATAGACGAAGCAACACCTAATGAAATTGTAGGTACTTATTTCAAATTAGTAAAATGGTAGTAATTACATGATTACTTTTATGACAACAAACTTATGATAAGTCTAAAACTATTATATTTAGGAATGGCTGAACGCCCGTAAAACGGAAAGAGAGGAAGTAATAGCGACAACGTTAGCTCTAAAGGTCTCGCGTCAAGAAGCCCGTAAAAAACACCGCGCTGAGCTAATGGTACCTCACTTACGGCACCTCAACTTCGTGCTGTACTGGCCACACACAACACACGCCCATCCTGAACTCTACGAGCGATGGGGTCCACACAGTTGAGTAAAACTTAAGTTAATAATATGCTTGGTCTCTTTTCTAATCAATCTGCTTGTGTTGCCTTGTTGACGTTACATCAACTTCGTTCTAGACTAGTTATGGGCACCTCAAGCTTAAAGACGATGGGTCCTAAGGTGTCTTATACAATCCACATTTCTGTACTGTTAACTAAAATAGTTTTTCATCGGTTCATATTAACGAATTATTTTATTTGCAACTTGGCAGATATAATAATGGTGGGTAGAGAGGAGATACAGCTGACAAAGGAGATGGCCGAAGACGTGTTGTACGCAGGCGACGCACCCGTCAACGAAGCCTCCATGTACGAATTGCTGTCAGCACCGGCACTGGCTATTTGTTTTAGAATATTGGATACTGAAAGGAATTTCGTTGGTAATTAATATTAATAAATTAAATAATAGTATCAATAGGTGGTGGCTTTAACTCCAAGAATGATACAAGGTGGTGCGAGGCCTAGGAAGTTTCTCTTCGGAAGTTATTGACGGAACCCAAAACTCTGGTTACTGCCGCTCTCAGAGTTTCATAACCCTAACTCGACGACTCTTAGTGCGGCATAGACTCGTAGTTAGATTTCATAATAAAATGAAATGATACATGTAAAAATTCTTCTTAAGCTATACTTATCTTTTATTAAAGAACTGGTAAGGAAGATTCTCTACGAAGAAATACCTCCCATAGATGAATCTAAACCAATATCTGATCAACCACCGCAGAAAACGGCTTTCGATTTGTATAAATCTTACAGTCTGACCAAGGAAGAGATATTAGAGACACGTCGAGAAGAAAGAGATAGGAGAAAGGTAACAAATATGTTAATGTAGGATTTACTGTCTTTGAAAAAACTTAAGTAACTGACTAAGGATGCAGGTTGATGTTACACGAGCGATGCGTCGTCAGTTTTCGGACAGTATGCAAATGCAACAGAACCACGTGCGATTTGTGTAAAGAGCTAAATTGTTTCTATATTGATATTATATTTAAAATTGAAATTCAACTTTACTGTTCCTGTTTTAAGGCACAGGCTAGGGAAAGTCGTGCGCGACGTTTATCTGAAATGCAGCGAATGGCGCGCCAAGCCATGGAAGATACTATTGAGGCTAGGCGTATAGAAAGAGAGGCAAAGAAGATTGAAATATTAAAAGCTGGCGTATGTATATTGTTAGTGGTGGGTTAGTAGTTAAAAGGGCTTGTAGGATACGCTAGGAGTGCTTCGGACACTAGCATGGGTAAAGAACACTACAGACGACCGCCAACGATGGTGTCTCGGGTTATACTGACTATGACTATTAATCAAATCGTACTACATAACATTTAAAGAGACTTCATAAACATTATTTTTATACCTTTGTTTTAATTTGAAAACTAGTAACTTCATATGGAATCTACTACAATTTTTTAAAAGCTAATTAATTTGCAGAATTTAAAAGCACTTGAAGAATTTGAACGGAGTTCATTGGATATAGAAGTGGATATTGTCATACCAGAGGTATTTTTGGATTATTTTCACCATAAGTAGCGTAGCATAGGTTTCTATTACCTATCCAGTTTTTACAATACCTATTACAAATATTTTCTAAAAACGTACAATATTATGCGTGCTTTCAATATGTCAAATATATGGCCAAACTCGAACTAAGTCATATTTACTTATCCTAGCAGTTAGCAGTAGCAGCTTTTAATTTACTTTTAAAATTCGAAGGTACAACTGCTATTAAGTAGGATTTCTATTAATCTAATTAATCAAATCGTCTAAGTACAATTTAAGGCATTATCCGATGAAGAATTAGAAGCAAGCAGCGAGGAAGATGACGAAGATGAATATTTTCCACCGGCCGGTCTTCTAATACCGGGTTTCTACGCTCCACCCAATGAGATTGCTAAAGTTAATGGATTAGCAGTACTATTTCCTAAAGTAAGGAAGTTGTATGCACCAAAATTATTTTTATGTATAGTGTCAAGCTTTATTGCTCCTTACCAATTCACACGAGACGCTACGCTGGATAAAGAGCCGATTTTAGAAACATATTTTGAAAGTTTTTCTTGGACACCTTTATGATATATGTCTTATAGGTATGCTTTTAATGTCATGTCAACACCAGTAAAATCATTCAAAAATTACTACAATTTTATCTTTTATAAAGCGTATGAATAGTAAACCAATCAAGGCAACAAATAATACTTTATTTGTCGTAGATTGTTCTGGAAAGTGTTACCCCCCAACCAGAGTTTCTTCCACCGCATGTGTTAGTGTTGCTTGACATGACGAAGAGGTACAATGCTGTGGAGATATTGTCAAAGCACACGTCTGCTGTAATACATGTAAATGACGTTTCTTTAGTAATAGTACTGATCTACATAAATGGATAGGCGATTGTTGGTAATGACAGCTTTGTTGCGTTCCGAGTTATATGCGTTTGGCTAAAGTCAAATAGGCACAAAATACAACGTCTTATAGCCAGTCCATTTATAGAGGTCAGTGATAGTAGCAGACTTTGTTTGAATTGTAGTTTTTCATAAGCTTATAGATACAATAGTCAGGGGACTAGACTAGGGCCGCGGACGAGAGCGAAAGCGTGCCCGTGGTCCCGTCCCGATGCGTTGGAGGAACAGAGGGGTTTAGTGGGTATGCCTCCGCTATGGAGGAGAATCCCACATAACTACCGCGTCCCCCCCGGGGCGCGGAGTATGCATAAAGCATTCCCCTCTGAAAAAAAAAAAAAGGGGACTAGACTAAGAAGGGCAGCTGCCCTCACCCTTTCATGTGGCATACTAGCTGGGGGAGGGGTAAGGCGGGGTGGTAACATTCTTCTACCGTTTGTTTACGGTATTATTTGGTTTTCAGATTGGGATATTTCAGTTGACTGATCCTCCGTTTTCTAATAGCTTACACGTTGCGTATAGTGTAAAGCAGTTTGAGAGTCTTCAATTAACCCCTAATCTGTAAGTATTTGCGTCAGTACTAAACTAAAACTTATCACACTTTGGTTATGAATCAGTTAAATTAATCAGTAGGATAAGCTTAGTTAAGCCCTGATGATGATGATAATACATAGAACGTGATACGTTACATATTGATTTTCACATGTACATTTAGCCGACGTTCTTACGGTGAAGGAAAACATCAACAAGGAAATTGAAATATTTGTGTGAAGTCAACCAATCCGCATTGGATCAGCGTGGTTGACTATGGCCTAGTCACCCCTAACATAGAGTAGGCTTAGTCCCCTTCAGTGGGGACGTATAGTAAGCTGATGATGTTGGTTACTTGAATAATTAATAATAATAAATCTTTTATTCAGACACATGGTCCATACAAAACAAAAAACACAAATTCAAATTCTAGCACAAAAATAAAACATAAAATTCTTCAAAGCACATGTAGACGTGTCCACATGGCCAGCACTGGAGAGCCCAATCCCACTGTATCCACAATGAGTTGCAAGTAGCTGTTGGTGCTGTCCCGCACCTGCCTCATCAGGCATGCTGCTCTCTTCCTAATCAATGTGCGAAGCCGACAACACCAGCATCAGCAAACATCCCCGACGCGTTGCAGAAGCGCGGCAGCCCTTACAGCGCCCAACATTAATATGCACTGTATGATTTGCAGAGACAACTTAAAACTAGCAGTGATGTTGTCGGTACAAATCGACTTGCCTCTCTTAGGCCTTATGGATCTTAGTCCTTGTCATGTAAGCCGCGATGCGGCCGCGGGAGAGGCGGAGTGCGCAGCCATCTTTCCTGTAGACTACGGCGATGATTACCCAGAATTTGAAGACTTCGATTTGCCTTGAAGTATTTGTAGACTAGCCAATAAATTTTGTTCTTAGTTACTTAGCCCGGGTCATAGACTAGTAGCTAAGTGGAAATAGGCTAACTTTTTAATCTTAGTAAATTTAAATACTTCTTCACATCATGTAAATTGTTTTTTAGTTCATTAAAAATGGAATAATAATTGCTCAAAGAGAGTCTCTCCAAGTCCTGCATAAAATTTTATATTATATTAGGTCGTAAGATTGGAAATAAAAGACATTTTATTGTTATATTTTATTACACAATATTGAAAACAGAGTTGAAATGACAAATAGTCTTAAACAAACAAGAGTTATAAATGTTAAACACTGGAAATCTTTATTAGATTGATATGAAAAAGTTAATTAAGCTACATTAGCTTTGGAGTCATTCAGTTTGTCCGCCTCCAGGAGAACTGAACGCCAAATGTATTTTCTCAAATAAGAAGTTTGTTCTCGAACAGCTTCCAATATTTTTTGACTGGTCAATAAAAGTCTTTCATCCGTTATCATATTGTGGTCGTCTCCTTCGTTCTTGGATCCTCGGTATAGGTTTTTGGGACCCGGAATGCATGGTATACCATTCAAAGTATTTTCTTCCATTGGAGAATTGATAACAGCTGGATGCATTTTTGAAAATCCGTTATTGTAATCGGCCAGTACATTTCCCAACCAATCGCATGACAAGTTATTTCCATCGATGTAAACAATGAGATCGGTTTTGTGATTGAGCCAAGCTTTACTATCCAGACTGTTCATGTGATTGTACCTAAGCGAGAGGAATTTCAGATACTTCAGATCGAGTAAAACCGCTGAATCGAGTGAAGAAATTTGATTATATGAAAGGTCAAGGTTTACCAGAGAGTTCAGTCCACGAAACACACCATGATTGACATTTTTTAAATTATTGTGGGATAATCTTAAAGTATGCAAATGTTGTACACAATAGAATGACGATGGGTTGATAGTTTCAATATTATTTGAACTTAAATCTAGATTAGTGAGAGTGACAGGTAATTGTAATGATTTTTCGTTTAAACCAGTGATAAAGTTTTTGCTCATGTCAAGCTTTAGGAGTGCGCGATGATATTTTAACTTTATCTGCGATGGATCGGTGATTTTATTTGAACGTAGAATCAATTCAATAAGGCCTTCAGCTTCTCTAGGTGCTATTATGAACATGTATAAATTGTTATTCGACAAATCTAGTATGCCTCCTTCGGCATGGAAATTTATGTGGAAATTCACCACTTCTTGTATATCATTTTGGGTAAAATTTAAACTTTTTAATTTATTGGCATATATAAGGCTTTTTGTTGGTAGATTTTCGAAACGATTATTAGATAAATCAAGATTTTGTAAGTTGTTCATGTGCGAAAATGTTTGAAATTCTAATCTACTTATGAAATTGCCGCTTATATTGAGAAATTTAACGTTTGATAAGTGTTCACTATTCACTAAGAAAGTGATTAAATTGTTATTTGAAATATCAAGAGATATCAAATTTATAACATATTGGAATGCATTGTATTCAATGATGCTTATATTATTATTGGATAAATCAATTTGGGTGGAAACGTCTACTAAATCTTTATTTATCTTAAGCATATTTTCTTCGGAAGTAGCATTTCTAATAACCGTTAATCGATTCCCTGAATATGTAATTCTACAAACTGTGTGACCCTCAAAGTGGTCCCAATGTTTAAAAAACAATTTAGGGAAGAATTCTATGTTGTTATTTGATAAATCTATTGTCTCTAAATGGTATATTGTTTTATCTAATGTTGCCTCATCTATTTTTGTAATATCGTTGTCATTCAGAAATAAATGTTTCAAATTTAAAAGTTTCTTATTTATAGCGCCATTTAAATATTTTATATTATTATCGTTTAGTTTAAGTGTTCTAAGACTTGTCAGGTTATTGAATGGTTCTTCATTTAGATCTTCAATTAAATTGTTTGATAAGTCTAATTCTACCAGACTGATAAGTTCTTGAAATACGAAACCGGTCACTTCTCTGATTTCATTATAAGAGAGGTAAAGTTTTTTCAATCTGTTTGAATCCGTGAAAACGAATAAATCATCGATTTCCGATAATCGATTGTGTGATAAGTCGAGGACATTTAAACGGCTTAGGTATTGAAAGGGACGACCATAAATATGTTTCATATCCAAGTTAGTTAGTTGCAAATATTTTAGCTTCAACGTGTATTCTAAAAATGAAAGATTTGTCTGTGGCCAGGATCCGTACACGGCTAGTGAAGTTATGCTTATAAGAAATTCTGTATCCGTTATATCTACACTAAAGTTTTGATCGACGTTTTTGAGAGTTAGGTCAACTATGACATCGATATTAATAGAACCTTGACACTCCTGGTCGAGTACAGCGCCTTTGATTGTATTATAGCATTTCATTTGATATGTGCAATAACCAAGGCGGTGGAAATCCTCCTTGGGGCAGCTGCTGGCGGCAAGCGAAGCTGACAGCAACAAGAGCAGATACTTCGCAACTGTAAGACAAAACAAAACACATTTCCTTACAACAATTAAGATTGATGATTGTTTTAAAGATGCGTAGACCGTTGCAATGATTTGTTTTATTTGAAATTATGAAAAAAAAATTGAATAAAATTATATAAATGTTAGAAAAGCTTAATCTTTAATGTGAGTATTTATAAATTGTGTTACAAACTTACTAAGGAACATGCTTGGACCGATTGCTGAACGCCTTCCAATAAATCTGAAACGAAATATCGATATGTTTATAAAAAAGCAATAGGCATAAAGTAAAGTAAACATTGTTGCACATAAACAGTAGTCGTTTGTTTGTCGAATCTGTATTTAGTAGTTGATTATTCATCTAAATATCTTAAAAACAGCATAGATACCTAATACAGTTATCAGAAAAAATATTGTCAACCTAAGTTGACTAGGTCTAGACATGCTTTAAAAGGTTATGGTTAAAAAAAATGAACCTCGAAATATTTAAATTGAAACATAATCAATTTAAACCTATGTGCATTTTGAAAAACAATGAATAATCTTATAAATTTATTACCTACTAGTTATATTAAATGAACTGAATAAAATGATTAGCGTTAGCATAGTTTATGAAGCGAGCGAAAATTTTAATCGACGCCATTTTTTCAATTTCAAATTACTCCAATCCTAAATTAAATTAACATAGTAACTATTTAAATTTATTAAGAAAAATAATGTAATTTATTGTAAGTATTTACTAAAGTAGCTACTTACTTTTAATTAATTTCCATGTGACACACTGGTGATAGAAATCACGGACGATGACAGAGTGCGGTCAGGTTAGGTGTAAAGTTCGAAGCTCGGATTTTGCTGACCTTACATAAAAGGAACACCGTGTTTATAACAAAGAATATGTCATCACAGATGTCAAAATAAATTTATCTATACCTTTCCATTATAAGGTGGCAACATAGCGAATAGCCACTTGAATTCGCCGACATAGCGAAGCGATCGCTGTCCGCATCCATCCATAATTGCAGTTGCGTTGCCTTCCGTTAATCGACAAAGGAGAGTACGCAAAGAAAAGGGATATATTCTCTTCCAGAATTTACTTATACTTAAAAAAAAGAGTGGGAAGGGAAAGAAGAGTAAAATTAAGCCTCGATACGCACACTCATTTGACGAAACGCGCAATTGCTTCTAATGCCTGTCTTCTGTGTGGTCGTGGTATTTCACTGGGCGAGTCCACTTACACATATTTCTATCTTATTTATTAGAGAGAAAGTACCTAAGAGTCGATAATATATGTTTTTGTGTGAATACTTCGGCAATGGCCTGAGCAAATTTACAATGTCGCAAAAAAAACGTTAAAAGTTTATTTTATTAAATTCTACTTATACTTGCAGCTGTGGTCGTCCATTTACCGAATTTCGACCACAATTCATAATCAAAGTTTTTTTTTTACTTTTTTCTTCAACACTTTAATGGTGTATTGTAGTAGGAAGTTAATTTTTTTTACTGTACTAACTCTTTGACAAATAGTTTAATTTGAATGTGTGAATCTATGTTTATTATCTTCATTTGTATGTGTGCATCTAAATTCTTGGAGTGTAAATACCAGGTAGCTAGCTACAAAATCTTAGTAAGCATAGTTATTTCGCATGATTCCCAAACTTTGATGTACCTAATATTAATTAGTGTAACCTAACTAATTGTTTGTCTAATAACACACTAAACTACAGACCTTAATTCGAATTCATATACTAGATAAAATAATATGAAATATTAAAACACAAAAATCGGAGTAAAAGAACACCAATCTAGTTTAGATGGATAGATGTTTGTTAGAAGGTTTCTCTGGAACGACTCAACGGATCTTGACGAAATTTGGCACAGAATATAGTCTGTAAAAACACATCGGCTGTTTACAAAGTTTTTTTAAAATTCCGCGCAGACGGAGTCGGGCGACAGCTAGTTTCTAATAAAGACGTAACGAAAATAAATAATTACTTTCTCTAGATTGATTGTTTTTATAATCATAATACAAAGATATATGTAAACATAATCATGCCTTCGGAAAATATCTTTTCCTCTATTTAACCACCTATTACTCGGGTAAAAATAGTTTGGGAACTGTCGATGTTTATATTTGAAGCATTGAAAATAGATCCTGTCACTTTGTAATGCGCGCCATTGTTATAAATGCATGACGTAATGTATCACCAACGGTCAACTTATATTTCACCTTAATTCTTATCATCATGAACCTACCCAAAAATCTATAGTCTGATTGTTGTGGGTTTTTTTTATATTATAATATGTGTTGGGGAAGTGCATTATGAAAAGAAAAAAAAATAATTACTTATTATTCGTACAGAAATGTTACCAAATGTAAAACTGCAAAGCTGAGGAATTCATACTTGTAACAACACATATAAACATTATTGCACACATGCAAAGCAGTACGTCGCTAAAAGATGTTGTGGTATTTTTCTCCAAAAATGGACAATTTTGGTCATACTAGGATTCGCCATAAAATGTACAAAATGTTTAAAAATAAAATAAAATACAAAGCAATCAAACTATAAAGGATTCAAACTTTAATCCATTGCTGTTAAAGAGGTTAAGATTGAACGAGTTTATTTCTTCTTCTTGCCGCAATTTATTGCAAAATAAAGAAATACGATCAGTCAGGGTGAGGAGATCAAGTCACATTAGATTAATAATGTTACCTCAAAAATAAAAATAAAAACACAAAAATTATAAATTTATGGTATTATGGCTGTCAAACGCGACTCGGTCCGCGCGGAATTAAAAAAAATTAGCCTACGTGCTCCTCCAGGATGTGTTCTACATCTATACCAAATTTCAGCAAGATCCGTGCAGCCGTTCTGGAGATATCTTCAACCAAATATCCATCCATCCATCTAAACAATCGCAATTATAATATTAGTAAAGATTCTATTTAATTATGTATTTAGTTATGTACAAAGTTATTTTAATACTTTCTATGTAATATTATACGTAATAAATGTGAGAATGGCAACACTATTCAGGGGAAGTCCCCAATAGCGTTTCTTAAACGATAATCTGTGGGTCATGTGTCAGTATCCGGTAGTACTATCAAGCACTATCAAGTTTCAATAGAGCGGTCTTTTACTGAATTTAATAACTTTCCTTATAAAATGTTTTTGTTTTTTTTATTCATTAAATTCTAAATTCCAAGTAATGGCCTTTTGCCAATGAAAATGTTTGAACATCGAACATTAGAAAGAGATTACCCGCTTATTTTAGTTTAGTAGAGCGTTGTCTTTGTCACACACTATAATGCGACTCTGTATCGGTTTCCATTTGCGCGGCACTTTCTTTGACACATATTGTTGTCTCTGTCTCTTCAAAGAGTATGTGAGAGATGACGGTATGTGTGACTGCAGACCACAATAATATAAGTTAAAGAACGAATGCTTGATATATATTAACGTCCAATAGAGCAAGCTAGGGATATAAATTTATCAGCAAACTATGCATTCGGTTCTGGCTGTTTTTACAATTACCAGTGAAACTATTGTTCTACTTTAGAAAAAAAAAATGCTTTTTATTTTTCAGGGGACACCCGGATTTGAACCAGGGACCTATCGATCTGCAGTCGATTGCTCTGCCGCTGAGCTATATCCCCGATATCTCAACCGATCTTAAATTTAATTAAGAACAAGACTATAGAAGTATTTTCACTAAGGGTTATACTGACATGATTGTATTGCTATTATTATTGCTGTCTTTGTTTATTCAAAGTGAATAAAAGAGAGGGCAATATATATTAATACAAGGTTCACAATAGTGTAGAATAATAGCAACACGCCTTAATCAATTAAGTTGAAGGTTATTTTCCGTTGGACCGATTGGCCTACCGATCAATCGGCTCAATGGAATTTTTCCCTTTGGACCGAAACACCCAAGTTCAATTAATTTGGTTAGGTAGAGCGTTAAAATGTCGTGAGAGTGGCAGATAGATGTGTATTTTTTTATTTGTGATGTTTTTAGTAAAACTCGTCTTTTTCGTGGATTAAATATAAAAGCACGACGTAGAAACAGAAAAGTAACAACAATTCAGTGTTTTTAAATTTTTAAACCGGACGGTACTTAAGTGTGTACTTTATTTTCATTCCGGTTGAAATCTTTTTGTTTAATGTGAATGAAATTCCTAGAGCGACATTTTACTGGCCATGACGTTTTTATTTTTCATTTAAAAAAATGTACACAATTTAATCCACTGACCTCTATAAATGGACTGGCTGTAAAACTTAGTATTTTGTGCCTATTTCATTTTCGTCATTGTGGCGCTGATTGGAACTAATAATATAGATAGAATTAAGTGTCGAACTTACCGAAAGCTGTCATTTCCAAACAATCGCCTATCCATTTATAGCGTTAACCTCATGGATTTTTTTCTTTAATTGGTTCGGCAATTTCGGCCAATGACTCGAACTGAAAATAAGTCGAATTTTAAGAAATCTCCTAAAGTAACTGGGATCGGGTGAAATATAATATTATAATTAATACGAGTGCTTACAATAAATCTCAAATTAAAAAAAATCTAGAGCATACCGACCCTCAAAAGATAAATATAAGGATGTATGTTAATTATACACACGTTTTTTTTTTCTCTCAAATGTTTTTAAAACAAATAGATACCACTTGCTATAACAATCCAGTTCACAAATTATTTATAACTGAATTTATAATTTTATTTGTCATAGCTTTAAATTAGCACGAGGTCAATGTCCTCTTCCACAGACTAAGTAACAAAGCGCACGAAATTAATTATCATTTTCTTGAAATGTATTCAAGTTGTTTAACAGCACAGAGTAACAAGATGTCTGTTTGTTTGTCTTAATTAGAATTCCAGACATGTTCCAAAACTTCTCGTTCAGCAATAAGTTGGTAAACCCGTCATGATTGTAGTAAGCAAAAGTATTTTATTTTCAAAACTTTACATCGTAATCGAAGTAAAGAAATTTTAAGGCTAAAAATCCTCGTAGATTCGATAGTAACTACGCATAGTAAGAAGTACAAAAATGGATAGATCAAGCTTAGTAAATTTCTATTGTAATCCTGAAGCTGGTTAGTTATAGATGCAGTGGAACAATAATGTTACTAGAAATAAGTATAAATAGACCAATAATCTATGTTTTTTTTTATATCATAAGATGGCAAACGAGCGAGCGGCCACCTGAAATCGCTGAAATAGCGAAGTGACCGTTGCCCATAGACATATGCAATTGCATATGCGTTGCCTACCTTTAATCGACGGAGGAGAGGATGCACAGAAAGAAAATATCTTCCATTTCCATGCATCCTCTCATCCGGAAAGTCCACTTCCTCTTCCCATCCTTTCCTTATAAGAAAAAGGCTGGGAAGGGAAAGAGGACTAAATTAGGCCTTCGGGACGCACACTCATCAGACGAAACGCGGAATTTCTTCCACTTGACGCCTGTCTTCTGTGTGGTCGTGGTATTTCACCGGGCGAGCCGGCCCAATTCGTGCGAAGATGTTAAAGCGGGCTCTACCACTGTTAAAACTATTTGTTATTATATTGCGCAATGAATAATGGAATTATTAATTTACTTCTTATTTTTTTTTTCAAATAAATATTGAATTATAAAATTTACATTATGTAAAAATAAAAATCTTACAGAATAACTGAGATATGCATCAGATTGTAGACTTACTTTGAAAATTATTCTAGGAAAACCATCCTTTCCATTTTCCAAGCTGACAACGTTAAGCTTCGAATATATTGCAAATTTTTCAAGATGCAACGCAGCTTATGGTTGTTCAAAGATTTACTCCA